TCAAAATTTTCAAAAAATTTAAATTAAAAAATTTGCTTTCTTACTTAAAAAAAAAAAAAATCTCATAACAATATAATAATAGAAAGAATTTCGTATTTATCTAATAGAATAAAAAAATATTATTATTACAATCCACTCGATTTTTATTTAATAGATTAAAATACATTTAGGAATTGAATGTATTTTAATCTATCAAATAAAAATCCTATAAAAAGTATATATAATTATTAGTATATATGATTGTTAGTATATATGATTATTATATATATTTTTTTAGTTTTAAATTCTCAAATTTTCTATATTCTCATAAATCTTTGAATGTATTTKAATCTGTATAAATTCAGTTTAGAATATATGAATTCATAGATATATCTATGAATTCATATATTCTTATTGTTAGAATAAGTAGATAATTATAATCATATTGTGATTATTGTAATTATATTAATATAATGATTATATTATAAAATTATTATAGAGAATGATTGTAGATACTGTATATAGATATATTGTATATATTGTATATATGGTATATATGTGTTATATATTTTATATTCTTTTAATGAATGTCTCTTTTTTGATACATTTTTTTTTTTTTTGTATGAACTGATTTATGCATATTGATTGATTCTAAACAGAACCAATCAATATATATTCTTTTTTAGAATAGCTTTACTAATTCAAAAAAAACATATATACATTGCTCAATTTGTGAAAGAATATCTAACTTATTTCTATTCTAATCATTTCATTCATTTTTGAAATGATTAGAATAAAGATAAGATAGATATTTATAGTCCACTGCGTTCCCAAACTACAAGTGATAAACCTTGGGTTTGAAGTCTTTTGATGTATTTAGCGGTATCCGCAAAGACAGTCAAATTCTTACGCGCCTTCGTGGGATTCAGACGCGAAGCGTCTGCTCTTCGAGCCGTAAGGTTGTCACCGCATACTTCAACAGATTTATAGTCTGTCGCTTTTAACCACTCGGCCACTCTCCCGAAGAATTCATCATCCTACAGGATTTGAACCTGTGACCTTCAACTTGGAAGGTTGTTGCTCTATCCAGCTGAGCTAAGAATGCAACTCACCCAAAAGAGTCAACGCAGCCGCCACAACAAAACAAGCATCCGAGTGTTACGTACTGATCCAACGGGATTAGTTTAACACCTTCCTACATCGTAGCTAATGTGCTTCCGCCTCCTTCATTTCTTCCATCAGCGCCCCTACTCGTCCCGACCCATTAGCGATCGGTGTTGCTGCTACAGGTGCAGCCCCGACTCGTGGCTGTGGGAGTCGATGAGGGCAATCTCGGGCTATATGCCCTGGTTGGTGACACGTGTAACAAACGATCAGATTGGCAAGGACCCCTGCAGGAGGTGGTGCCGAAGCCAGTCCGTGTTGAAGCGGCGCGCCACACACCATTATTGGTCGCATCGACCTCATCATCGTCTCTATTCGAGCATTATGTTCCCACTGTTCCTTTTTGCATTCTTGAATCAAAGTAACCAGTGTCTTGGTTACTTCCAATAGGGCAGAAAACTCATTCGGTCGTGGGGCACTTTCGATCGGAGGCGAGGGTGCTGTTATTACAGGAACGGGCATGCTTGTAATCACACTCGGGACCGGTCGTTTGGGACTAATCTGTTCCAGATAGGTGAAAGGGTCCGACACAAACCCCATATTTTCACATTTGTTCTGAAGTGCGGCCAACTCAGCTTTAGCTATCGCTAGTTCGGATGAGTCTCGTTTCCTAGGATAGTCTTCCCGTTTTAGGAAACTTGCGGCGAACTTTCGTTCCATTTCTTCTGTGGCTGCCATGATCTGTTGCAACGTGTGATTGATGGGGGAGAACTGTTTTCACAGTTTCACTCTCATCGTTCAGTTGCGAAGTCTGTCGATGAACAAATCTCTACCTAGTACATGTTCACCTCGTTCCGTTTTCACGAACATCCTGTAGAATCGGTTTCGATACTCGGTGACAGACTCAAGGGGTTTTTGGACTCGATCTTTAATCATAAAAAGGACTTGTTCTGGGTGAATATAATTAAATCGGTTTAGGAAATCTCGCTCGAATGTCCGGAGATCTACCCATATATAGGTGTTGAACCAATGATGGGTGTCTCTCCCCAATCGAGCGGGAATGTCCACCTGTGCCTCGTTATCATCATACTGCTGAGCCCGGAGCGTGGCTAACCATGCTCCAACAAGGTGATGTGCATGATCGAATAGATAGAGATCGGGTAGCGTCATGGGAGCCCGTGCTCGTGGTGCGGGTTGATTAGGATTTATTGGTTGGTTAAGGTTCTGTTGGGGATTCGGGTTCTGTTGATTAGCGTCATGTTGACCGCCCGTCGAGCCGCAGACCGGCTTCTGGTAACGATGGGATCGCGTCGATGTGCGTTCCGGGGTCGAGGTCCTTCCCTGTTAGCCAGATCGCCCAGCTATGAGTCCTAGAACCTAGCCACGTGTCCGGCTCCGATACCAACCTCACGCCCGACGCGACTTCCTGATCGAAGTGGGATGTGGGCCTGGAAGTGCGAAAAGGGGGTGTGCCAAGGATTTTTGGGGAAAGTGAGGGTGAAGTCCCAGGTCAGAACTGAGATCTCATGTGGCAAGGGTCCAGGGGCATAGATGCAATAGAGCTAAGGGACGGGTTACTTACGGTCTAATGGCGGTCGATATCGTGCAGCATAAGGTAGATGGAATGCGTGGTGCATCAAGGGCCGTCCGATCCGTCTGTTTTGGTGGCGGTGGTTCGGGAGAGGTCTGCCCGTGATGGTTGTGATTTTTATGAGTCGGACCTTCGGGTGCAGACATGTGGTGTCTGTCGGCGCTTGTTATGGTTGGGTTCCGAAGTTTCAGGGGTTCGGCGGTGTCCGTGTCGTCTGCAGTTTCTGCACGGCGTGCGAGGCCAATACGGGGCGATGGAATTCCACGGTACCACCGTGAATTGGTGGCACGGGAGGAGGAGACGGAAGGGAGGGAAATTGGTAGCGATAACGACAAAGCCGGGGGATATGAAGTATTGCATGTTATACGTAGTTGGGTAATCTAGGCACCTTGGATCATTGGTTACGGCACAGTGGAACTCCCTAGGGCACAATCGGTTCTCGGTTAGGCAGGGAAATTCCGGGTATCTCCGCCTACGATACTCTTTTTCTTTCCAGGGCTCGAAGTACCCTGAGTCCCATGTGTACATCATCTTGTCATTGCGGCATAGTGGAAAATTCCTCGCCTATCCTGATACCGGAGGTGCCAGGTCCGCCAACGATCGCGACTCGCCGCGCGTGGACACATGTAGGCCGCGCGATTCAGATCGCGCTTACGCGTATCCATACGAGGTGTTCGCTCGCACCCGGGCCTATTGGCTGCCAAAGTGAGAGTGTACTCCCTCATGCAAAATTGTCACGTGTCTTGGATACTACCCAGTCATCTAATCACTCAACAATCATTTCCGAGCATGCAAGGTATCATCACACATCTGACATCGTTCCATCCGAGCTAAGTTCATCCCAGACACACAAAAGAGGGAGGAACGAGACAGAATGAAACATCATACAAGGACCAGTATTGAAACAAAGATGCCGAAGCGAAATGAGAGCGAATCGCTCAAGCCGAAATCAAAACTTGTATACAAAACTAAAGGAGAAGGCAAAGAAAATTGCAAATTCACGCCCATCAACCTTAGCTCTTGCTTCCTTTTTTTCTCTCTCCGATGCGGACAGTCTGTCGTCACGCACCAACCCACGAAGTCATCACCCCGCTTAGTCCTCCTGCACCCGTCAGGTTCGCCCGCGCGCTACAGTCCGTCGTAGCCCCACACGTCAACCCCGTGCATTCGGCACCAGCTCGTCGGGTCGCCCGACTCCCACTTCAACTCACCTCTTACTTCGCTCGTGAGCCAACCCTCATTGATCGCACTACCCCGAGCTTCCAACAACTGGTTAAGAGAGGTATCTAATCGCGCAGCCAGAATTTATAGCGTGCATGCATGCGCGAAGAACACGGAATTGCAAGGACTTAGGAAGAGGAAGGGGAGGGATTGCCTACGTTCTGCGTGGCTAGACCCCGGTGTGGGGGACGTAGCCACTCTCCACACATCGACCTGATCATGCAGCCCGCGGGCCAGATAGACACAGCAAGGAAGGGGGAGGGCGGGAAAGACGAAGCTCAAGAAGAAAGATACAGTTACAAGGGCGCCCTGCCCAAAATTACGGTTATACGCAAGATTAAGGGCGYCGACTAATCAGAGCTCCGCTGCAGCCGCAAAAAGAAGCGCGCAAGAAAAACAACGTGCGGCAAAAGAAATCCCGAATTCTGAAATTCCTAAACTTATTGCAAAAGGAACTTGTAATATAGTGTAAATTCCGAAAAGAAAGTCCGAAATTTCGAGAGCCATCGGGGTTCGACAAAATTCGAAAAAGAAATAAAAAAAGAAGCAAAACTTCCCGCGCGACCTCCGCACCTAAAACCCGACAACAGAACAGGAAAGAAGCGACGTCAAACATCATTAATCGTGCCTTTGTCGGCGCGACAGACACTCAATCGGCCATCTCGGGACTTGCCCGGCCCTGAACCCAGCCATTCAGAAAAAAAGCGACGCAAAAAGACGAAGAAGCGAGGACACCGATGCAATTTCCCTTCGATCCTGATCGTGCGGAACAAAAATTGGTTAGTCACAGCGTGGCTCTTTGATTGCCACGTGGCATCCACTGTAGGTGTCGTGTGCGTCCATATCGCGCGGGCAGGGGTAGCGCCAACGGTGAAATACAACGACGAATAGCAATAGGTGGCGCAACAATCTGGGTGTGGGATGGAGATGGAGGGGGAGCTACAACGTGGAACACTTCTAGCAGAGGATATGCTCTTCCGTAATGAAGACGGCCTCTTTTTGCAGAGGATACTGAAGGTGAGCAAGATAATGATTTCGACGTGCTCCGCTACTTTACAAACCTCTACGCTGTGTGTGAGAGTTGAGATTCCTGAAGTGAGACGAGCTGTGATGTTGTTGTGCGTGAGAGCAACAATCATGAGGGGGGGGCAGAAGAGAGGTGGGTTAACCTGATGGCACTCTCTTATCCGGTAGAGGATGAGGGTGCCGCACGCAATGGAAAGAGGGATTATGCCACTTATGACGCAGGTGAGTGGGAGGTTGATGATAAGAGTGTAGTCGACGATGATGACGCAGGTGAGTGGGAAGGGGAGTGGGGGCTATTGGCATCGGTGGAATTGGCGGCACCAGCAGCGACGGCGGCAACGACGAAAGCAGAAACAAATACATCAATAGTAACAACGACAATATCAACAATAACAATAATGGAGGTGGGGCAGGGGTGTATGGCAGAGGTGGTGGTTGTGGTAGATGAAAGGCAAGGAAGGGGTGAGATTGACGAGAAGGGTGAGATGGGTGACGACGATAGGCAAAGAATGGGTGAGATGGACGGGAAGGGTGGGATGGGTGACGAGAAGGGTGAGATGGGTGACAACAACAACGACAACAACAAGGACAACAACAAGGACAACGACAACAACCACAACAACAACAACAACAACAACAACGACAACAACGACAATAACAACGGCGACAACAACAATAACGATGGCGAACAGCGATTGAGTGAACTGGCTCACCCGGGCGTGAAAAAGGATAACAACAACAACAACAACAACAACAACAACAATGACGGCGACGATGACAACGACAATGACAACAACAGCAACAACAACAACAACGACAACGACGTCAACAACAACGACGACGACAACGACGTCAACAACAACAACAACAGTAACGAGAACAACGATGGTGATTAAGGACTGGGGGTAAAGGGTGAGGAGGGTCAGAAGGATGACACTGTCAACGACAACAATGGTGATAACAACAACAACAACAATGGCAACAATAATAGCACCAAGAACAACAACAATTACGACGACGGTGGCGGCGATAACCATGGGGGCAGACGGGCAGAGAGTGGTGGTTCTGCATCCAAGCTCCTTATCGGCATTATGGGAAAGATGCCGCCATCAATACAGTAGGGGAGAATTAGTGCCTTGTTGCGGCTGGTGAAGTGGGGTTTGGAGGTAAGATTTACTATTCCCCCCATCCCTACCCAGTGTTTTCTCATGATGAATAGTGTCTTCTTTTCTGGTGCTGGGTGGGGATAGGATAGATGATCGCTCTGAGACGATTAGCCTTGATTGCCTCTCATCTTCCTGACCCTTAACTCTTAATCACGAAAGGACTGTTGATGATTACCTTTGATGTTGCTGGTGAGCATATGTGCGAAATAATAGGTATGTACATCCTTTTTTTTTTAAATTGCTCCAGACTATTTGTGGGGAGCAGCACGTCCTAGGCACGGGCCCAGCGTCCCTTATAATAGAAATACATTCATGATTGATGATCATTGATGATAATTTGGGATGATCAAGGATCATTTAGGATGATTTAGGATGATTCAGGATGATAAGAGATAAATGATGACTAATCAGAATGAATGTCTACTCAACACTCAAATAATATCATATTCCTAATTTCCTGTATCCATTCCAACCAACCAATCTTAACTGAGCTTGTGTTGTGCACCAATCAGGTCTTCTTGGTCTCACACCCCAATTTGGCTTGGTTACAGGGCAATGCTACCCACCCCAACTCCGATCATCCTCGGCCAGATTGTAGCCATTAGTCAAGTTTGCAGATCACCTTCCTCCCTCGGCACTCCCAGACCTCTATTAAAGCCTCAAGCTCCTACTAAAGCAAGTTACAGGGCATCGCCCAACGCCAGCCAGCGTCGTTCTGGCGCCAACTCAACCTGGCCATTACACAAAAAGGCTCAATTATGAAATTAGCTAAGCTAGAATGCCAATTAGAAGTCTAGGATCTGATAATATCAGAATCCTGATAAAAAAAAAACTTTCTGATGATGAACTTTGACGAGTACCCTGAGATGATCACAAAGATGATGTATAATGTTGAGGATGCTGATGACTATTCCTCTCCACCCCTCCCCTTCTTCCATGTACTATCCTCCTCTCCCCTCGTTTCATGTTCTCCTCTTCTCCTCTCACTGCCTCCGCTGAGCTGAGCCCCACTATCACTTCGAAGTTCCTCTCAATCCTAACGAGAGAGATAACCTCCCCATTCCCTTCTGCCTTGAAGTAACCAATTCCCTTAAAATGTGTACCTCAAATCTAACACTCTAACCTAGTCTGCCTCCGCCAGGAGATAACGCGCCCCCATACATATCCCCCAGCCCCAGCCCAGGTCAGCTCCCATCACTTGCGTCTACTCCCTAGAGGGCAATCACCTCCCACCTTGTGTTACTCCTGCTGAGTAGCGCTCCCTTCCTGACTGACCTACCTACCAACACGACCATAACCTATCTGGGCGAAGAGAATATAACCACCAACACAGAGATAACTACTAATTGATGAAAAAATGAATAAAAAACTGTGATGATGATGATGATGATGATAATAAAGATTGAGATTGGTAGATAGATGATGATGATGATGATGGAATAAAATTGGTGAGAAACAAGGAACGTTTGACTTGTTATACCCTAATGGCCGGTGTGGAAGATTGACACCCCACTATTGTTGTAATGAAAATAGAAGATGACAATGATTATGATTTTGATGGAGAAGTCTAAATGACGATGAAGAAGATGAGGAAGTGAAATGATGATGATGACCACCGTCAACAGTGATGGCGACCACCGGCAAAAAAAGATGCGGGTCAATCACTATTGCTATAATGAAAATAAAAGATGACAATGATTATGATTCTGATGGAGAAGTCTGAATAATGATGAAGAAGATGAGGAAGCGAAATGATGATGATGACCACCGTCAACAATGATGGCAACCACCGGCAAAAAAAGATGCGGGTGGCGTATATGACGAGCAACTTTGATATGTGAAGACAACCAGCGACAATGTTGATGATAAAGAGATGCTTCTGACGAAAACCATGCACAAAAAAAAAAAACAACAAAAGAACACAAGAATGAAGAAGAAATCCCTTGATGATGATCTCGCCGACGATTCTCCTGTTGTAATGATGCTCCAAGCTGCTCCAGCGGTCTCCACACTTTGGTTCCACGGTTCTGACTCCACTTTCTTCCACAAACGTCGACTTTCGCCAACTCGCTTGAGTGCTCCAGCCTCTATCAGGGCATTGGCTATGGAGTCCTTGAAGTGGAAAGCACAGGGGAAATGGACAAACAACGACTTCCACCACTATTCTCCCTCTTCCACAATGCCTCAGGCCAGCCGTCACGTCAGCCTGTGACATGGATTGGCCAAGTGCCTCTGGATGCCACACATGCGTTAAGCGCTATTGCCAGATCCTTTTTTCCCCTCACAGCGTCCTCATGCCAACGCGTCCCCACGCGCTAGCTGTCAGCACCATGCCACGTGCATGAAGCCAGCACCACGCCATCCGCCAGTCGCCAGTGCCTCGTTGCTTACCCGTAGCCAGCGCCTCGCCGTCCGCGAGCAACCAGTGCCTCGCTACTGTCAAGGAGCCAGTGCCTTGCCACCTTCAACCCACCAGCGCCCCGCTACCAGCGCACAACCAGCGCCTCGCCACCGATGGCTGACCAGCGCCCCGCCAAGCGCACGCGGTAAGCGCCACACCTCCAGCACGCGCGTTGACGTCAGCATGCTCCTCCATTGCGCGAGCGCTAACACGCGCCCTGCTCTTGCCCATGCTCGGTTCCCCTAGGTTGGAAGTAATCAATGTATAGGTATATACATCATTGTATAGAGGATATAAGATTTACGAGCAAGAGGTCAATCCTTCCCCTAGGTTGGAAGTAATCAATGGCAGGCCTCTGCTCCTTTTGGTGATACAGGTGAGCCAAGTGCATATATGGTCTGCCTACACATATCATTCTTCAGAGACGTTGGACTCAACTTCCAGGTCACATACAGTACATCAACTCTGGGGTTTCCTTCATATCGGTGTTAGGGTTTGATGTTAGCGTTTGATTTCTGCACTGTTTTACAGAATTGGGCTTCATGCCGCGCTTACTGTGATCCTATGCTGGGGTAGGGATAGGGTTTTCCCTTCAGGGGAAATGTATAAATCGATGAATGATGATATACAGATTGGATGTGGTCTTATATGGGTTGATGTACATATACAGACAGCTTCTGACTATAGGACATGATAGGTTCATCTGACATAGATTGCTTAACGTGCATGCATAGGTAGTTGGAGACATCAATACATCTCTGCATAGGACTGCTAGACCTGATTTCCAGCACCTTCATTCACATCATCGTACAGGGATGCTGGACCCAATTTCCAGCAGATAAGACAGACAGATTGGACAGTGTCGGACTGTAGGACATGATAGGTCCATCAGACATAGATTGCTTCGAGCAGATAAGACAGACAGATTGGACAGTGTCTGACTGTAGGACATGATAGTTCCATCAGACATAGATTGCGTAACATGCATGCATAGGTAGTTGGATATACCAATGCATCTCTGCATAGGGACGCTGGACCCGATTTCCAGCAGATTCATTCACATCATCGGACAGGGACGGTGGATCCAATTTCCAGCAGATACATTCACATCACTGTACAGGGACGCTGGACCCAATTTCCAGCAGGTGTAGCTCCCCACCAATAGATGGATACATACCGGGGATGCTCTTATCACCTTGTTAAGTAGGTTTCCCGTAGACGAAGTCTCAAAAAAAATAAAAAATAAAAAAATGATGGTTCTTGATCTATGTCATATGAAGGCTGGGCCCATTTCCGAGCATGTGAACAGAGCCTTCATAAAGACATTGAGACTCAATCAGGCCAGGGCTCTTATCCCTGGTCAGATGGAAGGGCGCCGTAGATGATTCGGGAACGCCAGGAAAACATCCACCAGCTGAAAATCGTAGCCGACGGGAATGGGCAAGTGAAAAGGGACTCCACAGCCACAGCAATCAAACTTGTGATGAAGAACTGAAGTCGAAACTAAGCGCAATCCTACTACGGGACAAAACAAAAGCGGACACTTGAGGGATATGTAGTCACCAATACCACGTGATCAACCGCCCACAACCCTAGTCTGCATCCCCACAATGTTTATTCGTGAAGACATTTTTCCGATATCAAACCTCGAATCCGAACCTCATGAACCAGTGTTAACCTACCGAGCTGCAGACTTGAATTGTCTAAACGTGTGCTATGCTGAGCTCGCGTAAGGGACAAGTGTGCAAGCATCAAGACAACCCCATGGACCAAGTGTGCCAGCAAACCAATCATAGTCTAGACTCAACATACAACACCATGGACGATCCCTTGGGTGGTGCACAGGCAGTGTCTGCAACAGCTTACCTGTGTGGGCTGACCACAGGAGGACTTCAGTGTCCCCGTCCCTCGATAATAAGATGTGTAGGAGCCTTTTTTTTTTGTTTTTTTTTTTTTTTGCGGGAAGTAGCCCTTGCGTAAGCCCTCTATTCCAGTGGTCGTAAGAGAACCGTCAGAATTGAGGGCTTACCTGTCGGGCTGCTCCATCTATGAGTGGGGAGCAGCACCTGCTGGAAACTGGGTCCAGCGTCCCATTGATACGTCTTATGACACAGAGTTTGCTGTTTGTTGTTTCCTAGGACTGTGGTCATTTCTGTGTCAGCCCGGGGCTCCATTGTCCCATGGAGCTGCCAGTATCACCCATCCCTTCTTGGAGTGCCCCTTTTCTATTAGCCCAGCCCTGTTCAGCAGCACCCCTGTTTGTTATTGCTATGTCTGTCCATTTAAACCCCTTAAACCCTGTACCCTCTCAAAACCCATGCATAACACTGTCGTGTTCCTTGAAGCCTGAGGATCAGCAATGAGGTGGAATGCGATGCAATGCGATGCAGTGCAACAGAAAGCAAGTCAAT